TATCTTCTAGTGAACATGTTTGGCTCCTCTGTCAAAGATAAGGTGGCCAAGTGTGTTCATAGTTGTATCTACATCTTCTAGTCTGTTCCACTGGTCCTAGGGTCTGCGGGGGTTTTTTTTCCCACTACCATACAATAGCTTTGTAACACAATTTCAGGTCAGGGATTTTGATGCCCCGGCTTTGTCTTTATTGTCCAGAATTGCTTTTTGTATTTTAGCTCTCTTCTGGTTCTAGATTAATTTTAGCAATGTTTCTATATACTTCTATGGGGTATGTTAATGGTATTTTGATTGGGATTGCATTAATCTGTGTAACAGTTTGAAAGTATGACCATTTCTATGAGCAAAGGATATCTTTCTATTTTCTGATATCTTCTTCAAGCTCCTTTTTTCAGAATACTGTAATTTCCAGTGTATAGATTTTTTTTTTTACTTCCTTTGTTAGAGTGATTCCTAAGTATTTCACTTTTTTGGATGCTATAATGAAGGCTGTGGTTTCCCTCGTTTCTCTCAGTAAGTTGGTTGTTTGTGTGTAGGAAGGCTATTGATTTTTGAAAGTTGATTTTGTATCCAGCAATACTACTAAATGTGGTAATTAAATCTGTAAGTTTTTTGGTAGAGTTTTTGGTGTCTTCTGTGTACAGTGTCATGTCATCTGCAAATAATTACAATTTAACTTCTTCCTTTCCTATCCTCATTCTATTTATTTCTCTCTTGTCTAATTGCTCTGGATAATGTTTCCAGAACTATATTGAATAGGAATGGTGATAGTGAATATCCTTATCTTGTACCTGATTTTAAAGTGAAAGCTTTCAGATTTTGAGCACTGATGTCATGATGTTGACTATTGGTTTGTCATGGATCACTTTTATCAGATTGAGGTAAAGACCATGTATTCTGATTTTTTGCAGGTTTTTTTTTTTAATCATGAATGAGTGTTGGACTTTGTCAGAAACTTCTGCATTTATTGAGATGATGATGTGATTTTTATGTTTCACTCTGTTGATATGGTGTATTTCATTTATTGATTTACATATTTACATATTTAAATATGATTTACATATTTACATATCTGCATCCCTAGGATGAATCTCACTTGGTCATGGTGTGTATTGTCTTCTTGACAATTTGCTGCATTCTCTTTGCTAATATTTCACTGAGGATTTTTGCATCTATGTTCTTTGGGAATTGGCCTATAGTTCTCTTTTTGGTTGGGTCTTTCTATGGTTTTGGTATCAGGGTAATACTTGCCTCCGGGAATGAATTAAGTAGTATTACTTCCCTTTCAATTTCATTAAAGAATTTCAGCATTTGCAGAATTCTCTAAATTTCTTGTAGAAATCAGCATCAGTACCTGGGCTTTTCTTTGTTACTAAGTTTTTAATTACATTTTCAATTTCATTAACTGATATTGGGTTATTCAGAATTTTTATATCTTCTTGATTCAGCTTTGATAATTAATACATATCCAGTAATCTGTTCATTTCTTCTGTATTTTCCACCCAATGAGAGTAATGATTTTTGAAGTAGGTATTGATGATCTTTTGAATTTCCACAGGATCTGTAATGATTTCACACTTTTCATTTCTCAGTGCATGGATTTCAGTTGTTTCTTTCCTTTTTTGATAAGGTTGGCTAAGAGTTACCAGTTTTATTAATTCAAAGAACTAACTGATTCATTAATTATTTGTATTATTTTCTTAGTTTCTATTGCATTAACTTCTGCTCTGATATTCATAATTTCCTCCCTTCTGAGAGCTTTGGTCTTGACTTTTTTTTCTGGAAGCTTGAAGTACAACATTAAGTTTTTATTTGTGCTCCTTCTGTTTTACTAATGTGAAAATTCACTGCTATAAATTTCCCTTTTAGCATTATTTTCATTGTGTCCCACACATTCCAAAATGTTGTATCTGAATTTTCATTTAATTGTAGGAATTAATTTCATCTGTGACCCATTGGTTGTTCTGGAGGGTTTTATTTAATTTCCAGGTGTTTATGGAGTTTTTGAAGTTTTTTGCCATTAATTTCCAATTTCATTGCACTATCATCAAATGATATGCATGGCCAATATGAATCAGTTATAACCATCAGTGTAATAAGTCACCTCAATTCACCAACCAAAAGAAACAGACTGGTTGAATGGATCAGGAAACAAAATCCAACAACATGCTGTATATAAAAAACATATATAACTCAAAAAGAAGTTCGGAAACTGAAAGTCAAAAGGTAGAAGGCAATATTCCATGCCCCAGGAACCCAGAAAAAGCAGGGGTAGCTATTATGTTTTCACACAATGTGAATTTCAAACCAAAAGTGATTAAAAGAAACAAAGAAAATCACTACATTCCTGTTAGGGAAAAATTTCAAGAGGAAGAAATAAAAAACATAAATATGAGGGCCGGGGATTTAGCTCAGAGACATAAGGACTTGCCTGGCAAGCACAAGGTCGCGAGTTCAAGCCCCAGTACCAAAAAACAAAAACACATAAATATGCATGCACCAAGTATGAGAGCACCAAACTTTATAAGGTAAATACTAATAGACATAAAAATAAAAAAATAGCACAATTGTAATGGGGGACTTTTAACCCCCATTGTCACAAAGAAATAAATCAACTAGACAAAATACCAGCAAGGAAATGTCAGAACTGAGCCAAACTTGTGAACAAAAGACTTACTAAATATTTACAGTGTTCCATCCAACATCACAATACACATTGTTCTCAGCTGCACAAGGGATGCTCTTTAAAATAGATCATATACTGGCTCATAAAACATGCTTAAATAAAAGCAAAGGAACTGAAATTATCCCATGCATATCATCTGATGATAGTGCAGTGAAATTGGAAATTAATGGCAAAAAAAACTGCAAAAACTCCATAACCTGGAAATTATTTGGTATTTTTATTCTCTCTTTTAAATTCTACAAAATTGTAGCTGATAGTTGGATTTACAATATTCTTTCATTATTTTATATGCCTGCCTGCATTATCATTTATTCATCTGCATCATTTGCCTTGTACCTAAAGGATATCATTCATTTGTTTTAATATCAGTTTGCTGATAATGAATTTTCTCATTTTTGATTGTTAGAAAACTATTTTGGTTTCACTTTTGAGAGATATTTTCCTGAATGTTACCATCTGCATTAGCAATTCCCTTAAAAAAATGATTCCCTTTTCTTTTGGCTTGTATATATATTTCTCTTATTACTACTCTCTTGAAAATGTAAGTTTTCTTCCTCTAGCTACTTTTAGGATTTTTGTGTCTTTACCCTCAGTTTTACAATGTTTTGCTAGAATATGATTATATTTCTCCTTTTGGCTGTTGCAGCATCTGAATCTATGACTTGATTTTTTTATCAGTTTTAGAATATTCTGTTATTGTCTTTTGAGACATTGTTCTTGCTCCTTTTTCTCTTCTTTACCTCATACTCTGACTACAAATGTTAGTAGTCATTTTTACTGTATCTTTTTTTGTCTCACACTCTTTATATCCTTTATATTATGTGTGGGAGGTGACTGCTTCATTCTAAATATTTTCCTATTCCCTCTTCTCTCTCTGTCATTTCTACTTTGCTGTTAAGACTATCCATCCTTTGAGCTATTACTTTCAGATATCAATATTTTTCACTTCTAGAACTTTAAACCGGTTTTTTTTTTTTTACGTAGTTTCCTGCTCCCTACTGAAATTTTCAAATTTGGCATTTTTTTGACTATATTAAACAGTTATTTTAAATATTGTTTATAACTTCATGTTCCAGATTTCCTGAGTGCTTGATTCTATGGATTAATATTTCAGATTTTGATTGTATTGACTTTTAGGTACCAAACATTGTATATTAAAATTTACAGAGATAACTAGAGCTTCAGCATGGTGTTTTCTTCCTTTAGAATAGATTTGCTTTTAACATGGTTGTAGCAGGCCCAGATCACCTTAATCTAGTCAGGGCTTGAGGTGATTTGAAGATGCCATTCAGTTCCTTGTAAGAATTGGTCTATTTTCTATACATTCTTCTCCCTAGAGTGTGGTTCTTCCAAGTCCCAATCCCAGTCTCTTCTTAGTTCCAATTTGCAACCCTCTTGGGGAGGGTTGCCCATCTCTCTTTTTGTCATGCCCTGAACTTCCATTTTTATTAGTGAAACTCTACCCAAGTTCTCAGTACCTGAATCACCCTCTCTTGAAGTACCTTCCCTGTACTCTCAGCTCATTGTACTTTACTGCCTTGTTAATTTTCTGATGCTTTCAAACAAACATGGGGTTTTTTGTCCCCCAGATTTTTCAGTTCTCAGAGAAAGATTTGAATTATTTTATCTATCATTTGTTATTTGCTTTTTTTGATTCTTTAAAAATATTCAGGACTGAGGAAGTGAGGATATAGCTCAGTGGCAAGTACAAGGTCCTGAGTTGAAAAAATTAAAAATTTTTGTAAAAATAAACCACAAGGAAGTGGAGAGGTAAGGACACACAGAATGGAAAAACAGTGACAGTGGGAAATTCTGAGATCCTTTGATAAGGGCAAATGGGCAATCAGATACTGGATGGGACCTGGAGAAAACTCAGGAGCAGTAGAAGAAAGAGATGGTTAGAGAACTGAACAAAGAAATTCAGAGCTATTCCACCAAACTCATTTTATACAGGAGATATTAATGTCCTGTTACACAGGAGAAAACTAACTTTTTTTTTTTTTTTTTTTTTTTTTTTGTCTTTTTCCTTTTTATTGGTACCGGGGACCAAACTCACGACTGCCTGCTTGCAAGGCAGGCGCTTATGCTGCTGAGCTAAATCTCCAGCCCCTGAGAAAACTAACTTTTAAAAGAGGGCAGATGATTTAAGCAAGTTGACATCAGCTTAATGGTTGAACTGATACTCAAATCAAGTCTAGTTTTTTACTACTGTACCAGAGATATAAAACTTGGTATTTAATGTTTGTTCTGCTTATTAAAAGGAAGAATGTTATCCTAATTATTCTGTTTTGCTTTGTTGAAAAATTTGATTCAGCATGATTCCACCTTCCCGCTGATAGATTCAAGTTCCCAGAATCAGATTAGAAAACGCATCGTACTTGAAAAATTGAGTAAAGTGTAAGTATATGGTTACCATTCCAGTTTTATAATATTTTAAGATTAACTTGATATTGATGAGCTCATAATTGATAAATGTTATCAATTTGTTTTGAACATTGTAGAAAATACAAAAAGTTCACATGGCTTTTTTCATCTGGGAGGTTTAGATTTTTTACCATACTGTGTTCAGCAAATAAAAGATTTTGTCTAGAAGACATAGAGGAACATTGTAAAGAAGAAAGTTGAGATTATGGAGTAGAAAACCAAACTACTATACCTCACTCATACTTATAATCCAGTGCCAGCGAAGTCAGGGGAAAAAAATATCAAAGCTAGACCATTTAAATACTGATTTGTGGTAAATGTGTCACATCAGTTTCATGAGTAAGAGGTTATTAACAAGTTTTAAAGGTCTGTTAACTCACTCTGCAAACATATTTATAGAACTATTTCACACTCAACAACTTCAGTTTTTGTTCACCTACTTTACCCTTTAACTTTAGCTTCCTGTGGTAGAAGTGATTGTTCTTGTAAATAGCCCACTCATAAATGACACTTAAAAATTACTGTTTTGATTTTTGTCAAAAGGATTTGAAAACCTTTTCTGCAGAAGTATGAGGGCTATCTTAATTTTTTTTTTTCAGACAGGGTTTCACTGTGCAGTTTCAGGCTGGCCTTGAACTCACTTTGTAGCCCAGGCTGGCCTCAAACTCACAGCAGTCCTCCTGCCTCAGCCTCCTAAGTGCTGTGATTACAGGCATACAAAGCCCTGCTATCTTAAATTTTTCAAACTGCATTTTTTCCTTTAGCTTCTAGAAAACATGAAAAAAGCATATCATTGTTTAAGGATTCTAAATATGCAAAAATGTTAATTTTGTAGCAGCTTGAAAATAACATTTTCTGTATGTATATTCATTCCCTTTGGTTCTCTCTGATACAGGAACAAATCTAGAAGGAATAAAATATATTTGGTATGTAATATGTACCAAAGCAGTATGTATTTTATAAAAATGAGATAATACTATGTATACATTTTTCAATTTGTATTTATTGTATCTATCCATGTAAAGATATAGATTTACATTATTTTAAAGGTTTTTATTTTATTAAATATCTCTGTCATAATTTATTTAACCAATGAATTGATATATATTTGTTTCCAATTTTTTACTACCAAAAAGATTTACAAAACAAGCATTCATGTTCTCACCTATCCCTAGGCCTTTGCTTTATTTTGAGATAGGGTTTCCTAAATGGACCATGCTAAATTAGAACTTAAAATTCTCCTCAGCATGGTTACAGGTGTGTACCACCATGCCCAGTAGCTAGTATGGGTATGGTGGTACACACCTGTAATCCCAGCCCTGAGGATGAGGCAGGAGGATCACTGTGAGTTCAAGGCCAGTCCAAACTACAAAGTAAGTTTAAGGGCAGCCTGGACTGCATAGTGAAATCCTGTCTTAAACAAATAAAAGTATCTACAATTTAATAATTGTTTATATACTGTCAAATTGCTCTTTAGGCAAGAAAACCCAAGGATAAAAATACAGATTGCAGCCAAAATGAGTTTGCATTTCATTGCTTTATATTTATAACTGGTTACAAAGTACAGTATAGATTTACTATATTTCTTTAAGACTTCTTCCTCATTAATCGTAATCTAGCTTTACTTTTTATTTAAAATCACACTACTTCCACCTAAGTACCATAATTGCCTATGGAAATTCAGAGATAAGCTTAACCCCCCAAAATGTTTCTATATAATTAAATCATATTTTAAAATGAGTGTAATTTTTTTTAATTTTCAGATTGCCTAAACTTTTAGGTCCTCTTCAGATTCCCTTAGGAGATATTTACACTCAACTTAAAAATCTTGTCCGAACTTTCAGGTTAGTGTTATCATTCTGCTTTTCCATCTCCGTTATTCTATTTTGATTTTAGCAGTAACCTTGAGAATACATGGGCAGACTGAAGCATGAAGTAAGTAATTTATCTTTAATGTCTCACATCTAAATATAGTGTTCTTGTTTTCTCTTCCCCTAAACATTGCTTCTTGTCTTCTATTTATTTGGTCAAACTTTGATTTGGATCATTTATTTATAGAACGTTTGGTATGGATCTTTTATTTATAGAATAGCCTAAAATTAAGGAAAATTAAATTTATGAACCAAAAGCAAATTTTAGCAAAATAAATATGCAGTGGTACCTCAAGTCACAAACTTAACTCTTTTCATGTTTCTGGTTGTAGAATTCTTTCCATGACTCTGATTTGCAGTTGAATTACAAGTATATGTTAGAATTAAGTTCATGAACTGAGGTACCACTGTATAAGATGACCACTACTTTTCTAGGCAATATGGCAATAGAAAATAATCATAATGCCAACTTTCAAGGAAGAACTCTCCTATGAGAAGGTAAGTATAGTGAACGATAAGATCCATTGTTTCCCCTCCACCTCACACCATGTTACCTCTCTTCTGTATTTTTCTTTTCCTTTACAAATTGCCCACAGGGGTAATAAGTTTTACTCCCTTACACAACAAACATTTATCCATTTCCTGCTATGTAGCAGGCACTGCACAGACTCTAGGATATAATTCCTGCTTTGAGCATTTTTCTATTGATTGCATTCTGAGTTGCATAGAAAAGCTTTAAGGTGCTAAGCATTACAGAGAAAGGAAATAGAGAATTGGTATCAGTCAAAAGGAAATAGAGAATTGGTATCAGTCATGAAATAAAACAATAGAGATTTTTCTAACTGATCAAACTAGCACATAAGGACATTTCACTTCATCTTATCTGGGATGTTCATAAATTGATTGATTCATTCATTCATTTATTCATTTTTCCCCCTTTTGGTTTTTTGAGACAGGGTCTTACTGTGTAGTTCAGGCTAGCCTCAAATTCATGGTGATCTCCTGCGTCAACCTCCCAAGTTCTGGGATTACAGTCATGTACAACCATGCCTGGCTCTAGGATGTGTATATTTAAAAGTGAACTGGGGCTGGGGATGTGGCTCGGTGGTAGAACTCTTTTCTTATATGTTCAAGGCCCTGGGTTCAATCCCCAGCACCAAAAAAAAAAAAGTGAATATTTAGGTAATAATAAATCTGAACATGATATAATTACTGAGATTGTTACACTGCTTAGTTGTCATGGAGACAATGGAGTCTCAATATCATTCATTACACAAAAATTAAAGAATGCTAGAAATGATCCTCAAGTTTGCCTAGTCTTGGATGATTTAACCAAATGCTCTGCTACTTAGTTACTTTTCTTGTTGCTAAGACAAAATACCCAGTGCCCAAAGTGTAAAGAGGAAAGGTGTATTTGGCTCACAGTTTGTAAAGGTTTCAGTCAGTGGTTGGCTGGCTGCAAGGCAAGGTGGCATGGCAGAGAAGCATCATAGTAGAAACAGTCCATGGCAAAAGAGGGCAGACAGAAGGGTGGCAAGCAAGTGACATGCAATTTTAGCAGCTGCTTTCTTCCCCTTTTATGTAAGCTACCCCACTTAGGTCGAGTGCCAAACCAATCAGTGAACTAATTTAGTAATCACACATGCTTAATCCTAGCATCACACATTCTAGATCCAGCCGTCTCTGAAAAAGACTCCATGAGGCTTTGGTGGGGGGTGATCTAGACAAAGCCATAATAGCCACAATGAGGGTTTGGCCAAATAATAAGGCCAAAGGTAAATTTCTCTGCACTGATGGTAAATTTTAAAGAGATAAACACAATGTGTTACAGTGAAGTTTAGAATTTGTTCAAAAGATTTATCAGAAAGTTACTATCATACTAAGACAATATTTAAGAGTAGAAAGATGAAAATCAGGTGCACCTCTGTGTTTTATCAGCTTGTTTAAGGACTTGCCATTCAGACCCTTGTGAACAAGCTTATATAATCACTTTCTTCTGAGAAAACCTGGTGAAGTCACTTAGAGACATCAGAAGAAAGAAGAAGCCTTCTTGTCGTGATCTATACATTTTCACCCTGCTTTTCTAGAATATGTAACAGTTTATTTTGATTACACTTTGTAGAATGATTTTTTTCTTATATCTAATATGGTATTTTTCTTCTTCTAAGAACCTATTCTGAGGTTATCAAAACTTAGTGGAAACTCATGGAAAAAAATGTTAAACTCTCAGAGGCATTTCTAATCAGTGAGGTTTGGCCAAGTGTGGAAGCTGATTGTAATCACTTTGGGAGCTTTAAAAAGTATCATCTGAGTTCTACTCTTTGGTCTTTTACCAAGGAATCTGATTTCATTGGTCTGGCATAGTGCCTTCAACAGGGCAGGCTTTTGAGTACTATGCAGGAGATTTAATTAGAATCTGCTCTAGAGCACAATACAAAAAAATATGAATTAAAAACTGTTGGCCCCTTCATTCTCATATTCTTTTCTTTCTGCAACCAATCAATAATTTTAGAATTTTCACCAAAGGGAAATTATATTAGTACTGAAATTCTATTATAGTGATTCTTCGTAATTGTTTTGCTTTGTTTTTCACTTCTAAGGAACTCTGTTTTTCCATCACAGACCACAAATTATGTTTTGTTTTCCTTTTTAAAGATAAATATATGTATGTGTGTGTGTATATATGTATATATTTAATAAAACATTTAACTGCAGGTTTCAAACAGCATTTCGATAGCTGTTATCACAGCAGGTATTGTAATTTTTAAATTATTAGTACATTTGCAGTACATAATGATTATATTAATCATGAGGAGTTGGTACCTGTGCATAAGACATCTTAATTCTCTTCACTTTCCCTTCCCTCCTTCAGCAAGTTATTAAGCCCAGTACTCCCTTATTATGGGTGAGTTTTCTTTGTTTTAGGGTAACTTATATGAATTATAGTTTTCAAAACACCTATAAGATTGCTTTACTGTTACTTACTTATGCCTTGGAAATTTAGATGTTTCATGTTTCTTCTGGTCTTTTGAAGCAATCTTAGTAATAATGTTTGATTCAGGTCAGTACATACGGTTCTCACTGAGCACCAAACTGTACTTGGCACTTTACATGTTAATTTTTTTTAAATGATAGCACTGTACACATGACAGATGAGAGGTTAACCTCTCTCAAATCACACTAGTAGTTAGGTGTTAGTCTGACTATACAATCTGTACTTCACCATATCCTGTTGCTTCTTGTAGTAGATGAAAAGATATTAATCACAAAAGAAAATATGGAATTTAGGCTTTTACAATAATCTACTTAGTTTTTCAGAGAAAGTTTCTTGCTTTGATATAGAAAGTCAGTGTCTTCTGCACTTGGTTTTCTGTCTGGTCATTTTGTTACCAAGTTAGACCATTAAAATTTCTTCTAAAAACAGAGGATATATCTTTAGTAGGAGATACCATGAGGCCGTGTGTTCAGTCCTCAGCAGCAAAAAAAAAAAAAAAAAAGAACTTTTAAAACTGGATTAAACTGAATTGCATCCTCATCCCCAAAAGTAACTTCAACAAAATGTTATAGTTTTATCTTCTATAACTATTTGTATATTGAAGATTGTTACTCTATTCTGCCGTCTTCTAAGATGTTCAGATATAGCTGTTTAAAAAAATGTTCCCTCAGCAAAACATTAATTTAGCCTTCAAATCTTAAAAAGCAAAACAAGACAACTTTTGATTAGATTGGGATTTGGGATAAAGGACGTGATTACATCTCATTTATTTCATTGTCTGTGTCTAGGCTGTAATTAGCCCTGTTAGTAATTAGGAGAAAGCCAGGTTTATTAATTCTCAATCCAATGTTTGTCTTCTACCCCAAACTACATTACCTTTCTTCTATATTACTCTTCCTTTACAACTTTTCCATGGGGGAATAAATTTACCTCTATACTCAACAAATGTTAATTTGTTTCCTGCTGTGTGCTAGGCCCTCCACAGGCACTGGGATATAATCTCTGCTTTACACATTCTACTGTCTACAATGGAAGACATTAATTACATGTGTATACATTGTCATGTACTTGGAATTTGCTAAGAAAGAGCTAAGTATTATCACAGTATACACAAACATTATATAAAGTGATAAATATATTAATTAACTTGTTAGTAATCATTTTACAATATAAATGTAAATCATAATATATATAAATTTTTGTTATGGAAACTTACAACAGGAAACTGGCCTTGTTAACTGGGGAAAACATTATATCTTCCAAGACACTTCTCTAAAGAAATGACATTAAAGGACCTGGAAAAAAAAAAGTAAAAGTAAGACCTGAAGTATAAATAAGTAATTTAGACTAGGGATATGTCTCAGAGTGTGTGCTTAGTATATGTGAGGTCCTGGATTTGAATTCCTAGCACCATAGGAGAGAGTGTGTAGGTATTTGAATTGCATTATTATCTCCCCTTCTCTCAAATGACAGCCTTTCTGATCACCAACCATTTGACTACTTTCCTCACTTAACACACATCAAAGGAACATCTAACAGTATGTTCTGAATATTTAGTAGGGTACCAGTAATCTCACAGATCAAAATCTCAGATTATTCCTGTCAGGAGAATTTTAAAGACCTAGTGAGCCTAATGGAGTTGTTATAAAAAGATTTTGTAAACATCTATTATTGATTGTCTCTGCATTCATTAATATCAAAGGTATACAACTGTGTTATTGTTTTTTTAAATTATTTGTTTCTTGTCAAGACTTTCAAATAAGAACTCTATTTAAAGGGGGTCCTTTTACCTATGAAACTAAGCTTTGTGACATCTGAAATAGCCAAGACAAAAAGGCATGTCATTAACAGACTGCAGTTATAACGAGAATTTTTTTTCTTTCTTTTTTTTTTTTTTTTTTTTTTTTTGGATACAGGGTCTCACTATGTAGTACAGGCTGACCTCAAACTCATGGCAACTCTCTTGCCTTAGTCTCTT